GATGCCCACGCCGCAATCCCTTCTCCTCCATTCTCCTCTCGGGATCTTGGGCACGCATGCACACGCGCCTGGCTGAGTTTAAGCCATTGGTTCTGGGACTCAAACTGCAGTCAGTCGACTACATGGGAGTCCAGCGACATAGCCATTACGCTAACTGCTGGTCTCATGAATGAAATTTTCACACAGAATGTATAGTACTTAAAATAAGGGGAAATAAACCCACATTTTTAAAAAAGAATTCAACAGTATACTAAAATAATTTTTCACATTAAGTAATACTCCTATGGATTATAATACTTTTTTTTATGAAAGTGAGAGAGTGAGAGAGAGAGAGAGTGAGCGAGCGAGCACGCAGAGGGGGATGGAGCGGGGTGGCGGTGGTATTTTTGACAGTCTCATCATGTTGTAATCCTCTTGCTCCAGCTTCCTAGCTAGCTAGGACCACCACACCACTGTACTTGCCCTAGTTTGAGCCAGGAACCAAACTAGGGACTCTTGTGTGGTTTCAACAACTGTGCAACGACACCCTGCCACTTGTGCCACTGTAGCTGGGCCTACAGTACTAATGAAATATATTAATACTGTATCAGTAGGCCAAATGAAAAAAGCATATGCACATGTGGCCGGTATGATTTTTAAGCCGCCAGATCCAAGGCTCAAGGTGTATTTGGCTGTGTGCAGCACCTTAACCACCATGCCATCTATTGTTTAATTTCAACCCCAAGTACAAATATGACCCTTTCTTAATTGATAAAGGTTTTCTTTGGAAAGTTTTTTTTGCTATAGAGTCTATGTGTTTGCCAGAAAGACAGAGAGAGACAGAAAGTGAGAAATCATCCCCCAGGAGGGATGGCCACACTGCAATCACTTCTCTTCCATTCTCCTCTCGGGATCTTAGGCATGCATACACATGCACCTGGCGTGAGTTTAAGCCACTGGACTTGAACCGTGGTCAACTACATGGGAATCCAGTAATGTAGCCATTACGCCATCTGCTGGTACCTGATAAAGATTTTTATATATTAAATAAACAGCTATCTTTTTTTTTTTTTTTTTTGGGGTTTTTGCTATAGAGTGCATGCACTCGCCAGATAGACAGAGACAGAGAGGCAGAAAGTGAGAAATCACCTCCCATGGGGGATGGCCACGCCGCAGTCCCTTCTCCTCCGGAGATTCTCCTTTTGGGATCTTGGGCACGCACACACATGCTCCCGGCGTGAGTTTTAAGCCACTGGGTCCGGGATGCAAACCATCGCCAACTACATGGGAGTCCAGTGACATAGCCATTACGCTAACTGCTGGTCCCAAACAGCTATCATTTTTTTAAGGCAGGGTCTCCCCTGTGTCATGATCCTTCTACCTTGGCCTCTAAAGTAGTTGGGACTACAGGCACATGCCACTGCACTGGCTCTTTAGAGTAGGCCAGGAATCAAACCCAAGCCACCCATATGGCCTCGATCTGCCATGTACCAGTTCTATGAGTATACACTACCTCGGCTGAGTCACACAGTTACCATTTTAAATGGCAAAATAGTAAAGGCATTTCCATTATGCTATCAACATTGTTACCTGACACTTCTGAATAACTTGGCAATGCCATAAAACAGAAAGTAGTAATATACATATCTAAAAAAGCCTGTCAACTAATAATTAAAGTAAATAATAAAATTAAAACAATTCTCTGAGCACCTACTATGTGCCAGAATTTATTCCTAGTGCGCTACATATTTAACTCAATAATTTTACAGAAATACTTTGAAGGAACTATCTAACCTCACCTCATAGATGAAGAGGCTGAGGAACAGAAGTAGAAGAATCATAAATTGAATTAGTAAAAGAATCATAAATTGAAATTTCAGAAACTTGTTATTTCTCAAAATACCAAGAATTGACCAAGGGACCAGCAGTTGGCATAATGGCTATGTGGTCGACTACGGTTCGAGTCCCAGACCTGGTGGCTTAAAACTCATGCCGGGCACATGTGTGTGTGTGTGTGCCCACGATCCCAAGAGGAAAATGGAGAAGAGATGGTGTGGCCATTCCCCCAGGGGTGATTTCTCACTTTCTGTCTCCCTGTCTCTTGTCTTTCTGGTGAGCACACGCACCCTATAGCAAAAACCTATTCAAAAAAAAAAAAAAAAGAATTGACCAGATCAGTTTATTAAATTATTCTTATCAAGCAAAAAATTGAACCAAAGACATCTATTTCTAGACCTTATTCTCTTCACTAATACACTCTACCTGAAAGTGAAAGTAAAAAACGGTGTGTAACAAGATAAAACATACAAGTCAATAGCTCTCCTGTATCCCATTAACAAGTTAGAGTATAATGAAAGAAAGATCTAGTACGTCACACCATCAATTACTGACTATAGCTGTTTGTCCACGTGTCTCCCTCTACTAGCCTGGGAGCCCCGGGGGAATGGCCCTTGACTTTATCACCACTATGGCTGTGATCTGCTGCAGAACCTCTGGCAGATACCAGACACATAGAGTAATGCAGGGAATACTGACAGGGAAACATACCTGTAATTAGTAGAAGAATCATAAATTGAAATGTCAGAAACTTGGTATTTCTCAAAATAGGACCTTAGGTCAGACTGGAAGGAAAATAAAATTTTGTAAAATTTAGAAAAAATAAAATACTCATAATAGGACAATTAATAAATCTGAAAATAAAACTTAGGAAAAAATATTCTGGCATACCTCAGACACCGAAGGGCACAGACCACCAACATGTATCAAAAAACCTTTATCTCTTTGTAAAGGTTCAACATTCTTCATTTCTCCTTGGAGCAAAACATGTAACAGAAATGTCCATTATTGTATTGACATTTTGAGAAAATGTGAAAATTATTAAGTATATATTTTAAACTATCACAAAGCTTATTATAAAGTTACCAGCAAGCAGCAACACTAGATTGAAGATCAAGAACCTATAATTTTAAGATTTCTGGGCCTTAATAATATCATCTTAAAAATAGAGATTGAGTTAGTTGATATTCAGTCTATTGCAGATCAAAAATGGGGCAATTAGATCTAAATAGAACAAAGGAAGTGTCTTTGTCTGTGGTTCAGAGAAGTGCTATGCAGAACTGGGCGCACACATGCAATCCTAACTCCCTTGTGTTAATGCAAGCCAGAACTAGTGACTTTGGCTTTTCTTCATACATATTCCTTTGCTGGAAAAAAATCTTTAAATCAGATAAATATATCAATAGCAAGTATATAGTCTGTCTTGATGGTGGGAGAAACATAAGAAAAAAGGGATGGAGGTAACTTGAAATAACATGATTTTAGAAACCACAAATATATTGAAGATGGTGTAATTTTTAGTTGTTTTGATAAAAAATTCAAAATTCTTAGACTGCATTTTATAGTCTCTTTTTTCTTATGTT